AATATGAACGTATAAACAAATACTCAAGGAAGGAGAAATATATTTATTGGATTAATATTTACTAGGTTGGAAAAAGCATCGATAAATTATATGAACATAATTTACTCCCTCAAAGTATAATTCAATTGCATGTGAACTATTCTCACGGTTAAACTTTAATCAAATTCTTTTTCATTTTATTTTGTGATTTTATTCAATCATATAGTCATGTCCCCATTATATTTGTAGATCTTTTTATGCAATTTTAGAATATGTAATTTTTGTATTTTAATTCTATATCTTTTTTCAAATAAAATGATTTGAAATTAAATTGAGTAAAACGTTGAAAACCAAAAATGGGGATTTAAATGTGACGGAAGGAGTGATTTATTAAATGATTTTGAGTCTCTCTTCATCCTAAAATAGGCTTCCTTTTTATTTTTTTAAACTTTCCAATATTATAATGAGTACAATTGAAATGTTTATTTTATATAAACCCTTATTATGCTTCAAAATGTAATTATTAATTGATTTTAAGAAATATATCAAAAATGAATCCTAAAATTGGGACATAATGACTAACGAATACATATTTAAAATAATATAATAAGGTAATACATGAATTTATTGCAACGTATAGTTCACTTAAAGTTGGCGTTATTCAAACAAACCAAAATCCATGTAGATGTAAATGTTTATATATCATTATTAATTGTTATTTTCCCGTGATATTTTCACTTGACCAATGGATATAGTGGTAATATGCTACTCCACGGTTATGGTAGGAGTTTGCAAGATTCTCAAGAAATGCCATATCCTAGAGCCGATTATTTACACTCGTGAAAATAGATTGATTAATGATGAAATGTGTTATGATCGGCGTCATTTGAAAAACGAGCATATTCAGGTTTTATCAAAGTTAACCAACGAGTAAAGACACGTGTATTCCTCTGTCATGGAAGCATTTGAAAAGAACATTGGTGGAATGTTTTTTTGTTTATGGATATGGAGGAACACGTAAGACATTCAATTGAACTCAATCAGATCTTCGGGGATATGAATGCCTCTTTAGTTGGGGATTTACACACCTAAAAGTATTTGAACTCAATTAGATCTTCAAGAATTTTGAACCACAAAGTACTGAAAGTTGGCACTCTGATCTTCGAGAATTAAATAATATTCAGCATCAACTATTCTCATAATTTTTTAAATTTGTGATAAACTTATCTCTCCGTGCATCGCACGGGAGATGCACTAGTATACAACTAACTTTTTTTGATCAATACTCCCTCCGTCCCCCTGTATTTGTCCACTTTCATTTTTACACACCATCCAATGCACTTCTTTAATCTATTTTATCTTGTAATTTGTATATTAAAAAATTATAAAAATTATATATTAATAATTTATATGTTAAGACAAATCAAACAAGATCACACATGACTATATTTAGGCTTACACATTGAGAGAATTTGATGAGTCAAAGTGCTTAGATGAACCGTTCCAAAAGTCAAATCTGGACAAATACAGGGGGACGGAGGGAGTATCTAATAATTCAGTATATATCGCGTTTGTGCGAGGTTAAAACGTTCTATTTTCTGTCACAAATATTTCAGATTTTGGCTATGGATATCAATCGCGAAAACTATGAATTGGGTCTCCCCGTGATTGAGAAGGCGGGTGTGGCTCACAAGATTCAGTTCAAGGAAGGCTCTGCCCTCCCTGCTCTTGACCAAATGATTGATTTTATCTTCGTAGACGCGGACAAGGACAACTATTTGAACTATCACAAGAGGCTGATCGACTTGGTTAGGGTTGGGGGAGTGATGGGCTACGACAACACACTGTGGAACGGGTCGGTGGTGGCGCCGCCGGACGCGCCGTTGCGGAAGTATGTCAGGTACTACAGAGACTTCGTGTTGGAATTCAACAAGGCCCTGGCTTCCGACCGCAGGGTTGAGATTTGCCAGCTCCCCGTCGGCGATGGAATCACCCTTTGCCGCCGCGTCTGCTAAATTTTCGGTGTTGAATTCGCCGGCGTTACACTCGCATGTATTGTTGTTGCAGACATTTTATACAAATTTGTTTGCATTTTTCATGTGTTCACGAATGTCCAATGTACCTAATAAATACCCTCTTACCCAAATTATTTCCCTATTTTTAAACATTGTACAAAGAGTTGCGTTGGTTCTAAGATTCATGTGTAAAATATGAATTTAGTCACATATGTTTCTGATCTGATTATAATGGAACAAACTTTTATTTATTTACACGTACAAAAATCTACACCTTTAGGAATTGAACCCAAAACTTCTACCCCAAGCACTACCATTTCCATCCCGTTGCACTACGTTGGTTTATATTTGTATAAATTTGTTTTATATATTCATTGCACAATCTTCATTTTAGGATAGCACCTAACTAATGTACATTTGTAGAAAACATTCAAAATTTTAACAAGATAGTTATATTTGTGTTCTTTAAAAAAATAGAGATATATTTGTGTAAGGTTCTTATTTTAAGAATTTTTAATAATAAAGAAATGAACATTATTTTCTTGTATTGTTTTACTATTTTACTCCGTAATAAACTAAAAATTCTAAAGCATTAATAAATGTATAAAAACTAAATTTGGAAAGTGTGAAAGAGTACAATATGAAAAATGATATTAAAAACTAGGTGCAGAAGGAAAAATACAAATTTAAATACTTTTATTATGTAAGAATATCTATATCAATATATTAAAAATATTAATATATTAAAAATATTTTTATTTTAATTATAATTGACCGAGTCATTGACCCGGTTTAACCCAATCTTACCAGTTAACTCTTGACCCAAATGCCTATCCAGGTCGATGTCTGGTCCGATTTTTAGAATATTGCTACTGCCTAGATCACTGATTTGGCAGAATAAATCGGTGATCTAAGAGGGACGGGGAAGGGGGGAGTCAGGGGGCATGGGTGGGCTGCATGGGGTCAAGGGGTTTAGAGCGAGGGATAAGAAGGTATGAACGCCCGATTTTACTAATGCAGCATCGTAGGTGTTCCGGGTTATAATATGATCTCGATTTCAAAGTCAAAAGAATTGTTGGGAACATGTTATTATGCTATTATAAACTAGAAAAATTAGTAATGATAATAAAACATCTATTTTCTATAACAATAAAGTATATTAAGTTCTCTTCAAATCTTAAACGGGATTAATAATAAAAGTTCAATCACATGCGTAGAATTCTCATGTGGTTCAAGTTAACTTTTATTTATTTTTTCAACAAATTTTTGTCTCACATATTTATTTCTTTACCTTCACCGTTTTGCATTTAATGAAAATACATAAAACTAAATTATTTTGTGAACAAAAATAATAATAAAATATTAGTTGATCGACATATTATGTCCATATTAGTACTTTTTCTAGCAATACTTTAATTTATACTTCTTTCATATTTTCATCCTCAAAGATAGTATCAAATGAATGTGCACTATAAGATTTCATTAGTTTTTATTTGAAATGACACCTACTTAGGTTTTCCAAAACATATTTTTTTTCTTTACAAATATATAGATGAATCAAGTGACAAATTGGGTGGGAGATTGAGTAACATCCATCTCGTCTCTTATCCAACTCATCTTTCATCAATTGGTCATTCATATATATTCAGGTTTTTATTGTTACAATAGATCAGGTGAGACTTATATTCGATAATCCAATTAGTATTCAATCAGTCCTGTTGGGTGGCGTAACACAGTTGACAAGTTAAGGAGTGTTAAGGAGTAACTGTTCGATTCCTAGAAAGTGTGATAAGAGGCTAACTATGTTAAAGATAGGGGTGTAAACGGATATTAATCGGATCGGATGTGCCATTACCAAATCCGTATCCGTTTATTTTTGTCGGATATCGAATTCGGATACGGATCTTGACGGATACTGAAAATCAAAACCGTATCTGCATCCGTCGGATATCGGTCGGATATCGGATAAATCCGTATCCGTTTCTAATTTTTAAAATCAAATTAAACAATACTTTAATTTTAAATTAGATTAAAGTCAAACTATTATTAAATCAACTATAAGTTGGTGTGAGATTATTATTTTCTTTGTTTTCATGATTTATAATATTTTACGATAATTTCATACGATAAAATGATATACACAGCACACATATACACATATTTTTATATGTCTGTATTTATTTGTATTTGTCTACACATGTATTTTGTATATAAAAATGTCTTATATTTTGAAATATCAATAGAGAAACAAATTATAAACATAAAAAATTAGGAAAAACTATTTATAACGGATCGGATATTCGGATAAACGGTTATTTAAACGGATGCATATTCGGATCGGATTTTAAATGGATCGGATATACAATTACCAGATCCGTATCTGTTTAGTAATTGGATATCCTTAATCGGATACGGATAATATCCATTTAAAACGGATGCGAATATTTCCTCTTTAAACGGATACGGATGCGGACAGTAATCAGATTTTTGGCTATCCGTTTACAGCCCTAGTTAAAGATTAGGCTTCTGCAAGCCAATCCTTGATTAAAATTTAATTTATAAAGACTTCATTCTTTGGCTTCTGTTACTATTGAGTCCGGGGTGTTGCACAGTTGATAAGAAGCCCGGGTAAGATCCGAATTCGATTTCGAGTAAAAGGGGACACTGTAGTAGACATGTGCAAACAAGGGTCGGCCCGTCCGGCCCGCCCAACCCGCCCTTTAAAATGGGCGGATATGGCCGGACAATCTTTAATACCCACATGGGCGGGCCGGCCCAAGCCCGAATTGTATTTGGACGGATCTGGAAGTTACTTTTAGCCCATCCGGGCCAATAGGCCCGCCCATATTCATTAAATACATTTACTCTATTATTAATTATCTAGACATTATAAATTTTAAAATTTTCTTTAATTCATGTATATAACTCCATAGTTCATATCACTCACCCCTCTTAAACAAAAATCAATAGTGTTTTAATGAATCTGTATGATGAGTTTATTAATTATGTAACAATATTTTTATTATGTTTTCTATGTAAATGTGACGAGTGGTAATTTTATTTTAAACATTTGAAAAGGAGTTCAATATTTTCTTTTTGATTTTTTTGTGTAAAAAAGATTTACTTGATGTTTTATCCGGGCCGGGCGGCCTGGTGGGCAGTTCGGCCCGCTAAAGTGGGCGGGTATGGGTAAAAATTTTAGCCCATCAAATCAGGACCGGGCCAAGCCCGCCCATGCAAATAAACTACTCCGTAATAATTTGTATCAAGCCCGGCTCAAATCCGGCCCATATTCTTATTTGCAGGTCCATTTTTTTTAGTATTGAGTCGATCAGTCCATCGCAATTTGATAAATCCTTCCAGTCTTTATTGTCATCTTAAAGCGACTTATCGATATGATGAGCATTTGCTGCGGATCGGTGGCCGGTAATTCACGCGCCGCTCTCTTTCCCAGTCCTCTCTTTCGCCGCTCCAAAACTGCATTCAGATGTTACTCTTCTTCTTCGGGTACCAAAATTTATCGGTTTCTGCAACTACTCAACTACTGTCTATAGAACGAGCATATTGGTTTTTTTGTCTATGCAGTTTTTCTTGTGTTTCCATTCGTGCATCACTTCTTTTTGTTTTCAGTTTTATTGATGCATCTAAAGACTTATGTATGTGTTAGTGTGGGTATAGTGGCAGTCCAAACTTTTTGCTTGTTACAATAGAACAATATGCATTTAGGGGTGCTGGGATAACCCTCTTGGGACTATTTGGCTTCAAATGTTGTTACCTTAAGTGGAATATCTCATATTAAGTACTCCATCCATCCCAAAATGTAGGTTAGTTTGGGAATGTGTGCCAAATTATTCTTAAATAACAAAGTTAAAAAAAATTATAATGTTTATATTGTGTTAGTTATGATATAGAGTAGTTTCACACGAGTAATTTGTAAATTTTATAAATTTTGACTATGTAGAAATTAATGGCTAAACTCTGGCACGAGTTTTTGTAAAAACGCAACATCTTGAGATGGAGGGAGTATTTTATAGAGCCTTTTAATAAATTTGTATAATGCTAAACTTATCAGAACGTTCCTAAAACACTAAAACAAAGAGCACGTAGGGTCGCAAAACCATATTCCCGTCGCTAAGGACACCTAAGTAGGGAGTAGAAATGAACATCAATTAGAAACTCATTCTCAAAAGGGATAGTTTAATGCATGTTGTGTCATTCGTGCTGAAAAGGATATTGATGGGGATGAAGCCCTTCATATCTGAGCGGGTTGAATGAAATGTAGGCTCTGTCACGTGCCATGCGACAAGAACATTCCGCCGAAACTAAAAGGAATGTTTGATCAAACGGTGGCTTGACTAGCAAAGTTAATGGAACAGAGTGTTAGATGGTGAAGAGTGATGAGTACACGTACAAAAGATGCGGGTGGTCCAGATGAAAATGTTGAGGTGGATGTGTGGACGTACTAGGTGGATGATAATATTCAAAATAAGGTCTGTGTGGCTTCTGCGGTGGCTAGATTGATGTTACTTTGGAAGGTGCAAGGAAGACGTACCAAAGCTCTCGTGAGGAAGTGGGGGAGGCTGGAGATAGAGAAGTTGAAGAGGGGTAGAGCTAGATCAAAGAAGAGTTGGAGCGAGGTGTTAAAATGGACTTGTAGTTTCTTCAACTCTCCAAGGACATGATCCAAGATAGAAGCGCTTGGGATCGAGGATTAAAGTTGTAGGGTAGAGCATAGGTAGGAGTTATTGTTTCTGTGTCTATGGATCTTAGGGCTTCCAAGGTTGATTTTCCTTGTGGCCTTTTGCTTGTTGGTAGCTTTTCTTTTCTCTTATTTTTCTATCTGTACTTGTTGGATTGTGTTTGCGCCAGGGTCTTTCAGAATTAACCTCTCTACATTTCCTAACTAGGGGTAACTGTCTGCGTACACCCATCCCTCAGACCCCACTCATCAATTTTCTAGTCAAAATATATTTTGTGACTTTGTTATTAGTATCAATCAATATCTTGAATATAAAAGTATTATAGTATTTGGTTTTGTTTTAGATTATGAACATTATAAAATAACAATGGGGCGTTAAAGCCAAATTATGCTCAAACCTTAAATTTTACAAAAATAAAAATGTAAAGCTCATTAAATGAAATTGAAAACACTTTTTGAAACACCCTACAAATGAAATCTTTTTTCATCCTTTTCCATTAACAAGCTTTCAACTCATTTGAACGCTCAATAATTATTTTTCAATCCATCTCTTTCG